CCGCCCCTCCCCCGCCTCCAGGAAGAGCCCCCAGCCTTGGCCAGCCCCAGGTGCCACCGCCAGCCCCTTACCGTCAGGTACACGAAGCCCAGCGTGGAGATGATGCCGCAGAGGAAGCCGGTGACGAGGGCACCGTAGGGCATGAGCATCATCTCCGCGGCCGTGCCCACGGCCACCCCTCCGGCCAGCGTGGCATTCTGGATGTGCACCTGGCCGGGCAGACGGGCCGGGCACAGCTCTCCTCTCACAGGTCCGGGTGACCCGCTGCGCACACCCAGCCTGGGAGCGGCTGCCCTGCTCTCTGGACATGGCCCCCCACGGGGCATGGGGTCCACGCTGGGCACTGCGGTGCCCAGGTCCCCTTCACATGTGCAGCCATGCCAGGCCCGCGGGCCTGCACACATGCGCACATGCGCGCCTGCCCTGACTGTCCGGGCACGCCCTGGCCAGGTACCATGTGACCGGCGTGCAGAGATCTTCCCTCTGCCTTCACTAGCCCTGGCGGCAAGTATAGGTCTCTTTGACCTTGATGAAGTTGAGGTGTAAGGGGGCTAAGTGACCTGCTGGTGTCCACACAGTAAACAAAGGCAAGAGGTGTCCCATCCAGGCCCGTGGAGAGCGGGAGCCCCTGACCGTGACCCTCCCTGAGGGCTGGCAGGCAGCGGCGTCCAGGGGCCAGCGGGCATGGGGTCACAGCCACCTGACCATTCCACAGCTCACCATGTCCAGCTTGCCCTTCTTGTGCAGGGCGCTGGACAGTGCCACCGTGGTCAGCACGCAGGCAGCCAGGGAGCAGTAGGTGTTGATGGCAGCTCGGTGCTGGGCGTCCCCATGCTTGGACACGGCTGAGTTGAAGCTCGGCCAGTACATCCACAGGAAGAGGGTGCCTGGGCCACACAAGACGGGTGGGCGGCCCCAGGGGGAGGGTCAGGGGCCAGGCACCCCGTCCGGCTCTTGGTGGCAGAGGACCTGCAGGCTCTGCTCCTGTCCCTCGCCAGCTCTGCTCCTGCTGGCCAGCCCCCCCTAGAAAACCCCGCTGCCCTGGCCCACCAGGGGTGCCCTCAGCCCATGCAGCCCCTCCACTCTGCCCCCGGGGTCCAACTGACCCCTGAGTGGGGGAAGCCTGAGGCGAGGAGATGGCCAGCCCTCTCCGCACCGGGGAGCTCTGGGGAGACAGGGCTGGACTTTAAAGGGCCAGAGAGGGTGACCGTGTCCTGTGGCGTGAAGGAACATCCACCCTCGGCCCTGATAGCGGGGCCATCCCTGGCGACCCTGTGCTGGGGGCCTCCAGGGAGGACACAGATGGGTGACCAACTTCTTCCAGCGCCACGTGGAGACGGGACAAGCAGCGAGGGCTGCCGAGGAGCCCCTCCCGCGTGGCCGCAGGGAGCCCCGCCAGCCTGCCTGCACCCTCGCCCCCAGGGGTGCCCTGGGCCTCCGGCGGCGCTCACCAATCATGGCGAACAGGTCCGAGTGGTACACGGCGCCTTGCCTCCCCTCGCTCTGCTGCAGGTTGGGTCGCTGCAGTACCCACGTCACCGTGAGGCCGAAGTAGGCGCCGAAGGTGTGGATGGTCATGGAGCCCCCTGCATCCTTCACCTGGGCGCAGGGGCCAGCCCAGCTCCGTCACACCTCTCTCCCTCCTCAGGGGACTCCCTCCCCCCAACAGGCACGCACACACGCTTGTACTCAGGTCCAGTCAGTGGGGAGGGGCGGGCAGCACGGCACTGTCCGCTCCAGCTCCCGCACGAGGTGGCGAGCTCCTTGGGGTCGAGGGCACCCCGCGCCCCGGACAGGCCCAGAGCACCGCGCAGGTGAGGGTGACTCCGGCCCCCACTCACTTGACGGAAGAGACTGTCTCAGCCCGGCTGGCTGGCCCCGGGCCCTCCCCGCCCCCCAGCCCCGCTCACCGCCAGCAGGCTGAGGAGAATGAACTCGTTCACGGCGAACAGGGTCACTTGGAAGAGGGTCATGAGGAGCAGCTGCACCGGGCTGACTTTGCCCAGAACCGCCCCAAAGGCCACGCAGACCGAGCCCATGCAGAAGTCGGCGTTGATGAGGCTGTGGGGAGAGGATGGGCAGGCTGGGCCCCGCCGGGGTTTGCCCAGCAGAGGGTCTAGGGAGACTCAGCTGCGTCCTCTGTGGTAATGGGCACCCAGCCTCCTAGAGCTCCCCCCGAAAACGACCACAGAGAGGCACAGGCCAGAGGCCCCCCTCTCCTGCGGCCCCCCAGACCCCCTCCTCGCAGGCAGGCTGGCTGCCCCTCGCCCATATCTGGGGCCCTGCCTGTCTTCCGCCTGAACTCCTGTCACTCCGGAACCTCCTGACGGGAAGGGCCCAGTATTCACCCCACCAAAAAGGTTGTCAAAAGAAAAGGGATGGGGCGTGTCGGGGTGGGAAGGGGTGCGGTAGGGTGTCAGTGGGTGGGGGTCGAGGCAGGCGGCTCAGTCCTAAGCCTCACAGCTCCTTCCCGGGCCTGTTGCTGGGGGACGAGCAAGGCAGGGAGACGCCCTTCCAGGTGACCGGCCGCTTCAGCGGCTCCACCACC